GTGAAGGAGGGGGGCGGGGCCTGAGGATCAAAGAGGAGGAAGAGCAGGAGCAGGACGGAGAGGGGACATGTTTGCAGACAAAGGTCGTCCTGCGCTGTAGCCACATGTCTTAGGTACAGAGGACACCCTGCTACTGGCTCTCTTCCTGGTACAAGCAGGCAGTTTTGGGGGAGGTATGGAGCTTTTCCTAAATCCGGTGAGTTTCATTTCCTTATAACAAAATAATGTTTACACCAAAGTGGCCCATCTTGGGGCAGTCTAGTCTTGGCCAGGTCCCTCCCTCCTCTGAAACTCCCCAAAGTTACACATGTCCAAAGTGGGGCTAGACGATCGTTCAGTTTGGTTGACACTCTCTTGACAATAGGTCAGTTTAGTTAAACTTATTTCAGGAGGGGTGGTGCAGGTGTGTTCTCCAAGTAAGGCCTGGGGTTCTAGAAATCAGCTATTAAACAAGAGGCATTTCTATGGAAACAAGCAAAATGATGGTTCTTGATATTATTGAAGTATAACGCAGTTCCCAGGTTCTGAGGGTAGCAGGGGAGAAGACTTCTAGATGTCAAGCTGAAATATCCTCAGATAGAGGGACAGCAAGCTGTGACAATCTGACAGATTTTGCTGGTTTGTAGTTCAGATGTGTCTGGTGATCCCTGAGTGGTCCTCAGAGCAACAGGGACGAAGACCGTCTCTATGTGAGCTGCTCTGGAGGCTTTTCTGAAGTTTCCATCATGTTGTTTGTACTTACTTTTCAGGACTTCAGGGAAAAAGGCAGTTTGAGTCCAACTCAGAAAGGTGGGAGAAAAATCGTAATGTTAGTTTTGAGACTTGTAGCCAGACATATTAGCTAGAGAACATCAGGATCTAGTCCAGGTTTCAATGAACAGGATTAGAATCAAGTATTCACTCTGGTGTGTCATTGAAACATGTTATTTCTCTATAATCACCCTCATTTCTACTACGTATAGACAAATTAACATTAATTTGCTCAGCAAGTAATTGTAGTTTCTAAAAGAACTTGGTCTGATTATTTATATAAGTGCAACAAGAATGGCAATTGACCATATAGGCTCTTTAAAACCTGTTTTGCTGGAACTTTTAGAAGAAACCTCTAGATTGAACATTTAACAGCCCGCCCAGGCCAGAAGCCAGGACAAAACGTGTGCCAGATACTTGTCGTCAGACTTAACCTGGGGAAATTCTCTGTTTTTCAGGGATCCATATATGCCACGGTTCCTGCACCTGCTAAGACATGACCCTCTTGAGTCACCTGGTAAAGCTGCTGGGAACTCTGTAAGCAGGTGGCCAGCTGATACTTCCACGCGGCTGTATTGTCTCCATAAAGTCAATGTTAGTTCCTTAGAGCTGCCTGGTCATATCTGAGTGTATACAGATACATATCTCTTTCAAATAAGACCTTGTAGTCAGAGTCTTAGTAATCTAACCACTGTTTCCAGTTATATCTTGTTACAAGGAAAACAGAATCTTATGAAATTTATGCTAATAAATATATTGCCATCAATGTATAAGAATGCTCCCTGATGGTTTCTGAGTTTTGAAGGGATCAGGCGTGGAGAAAATATAGTTTCATTTGTTCAGCAAGGTATATTTTGTTAAGTTCTTATAGATCAGTTAGCTTAAGAAAGTTTCCTGAAATATGAAGGAACAAAACATTTTTAAAAGTCAACAATGTTTCAAATAAAAAGTTATAAAAATTATAATTATTGTCCTCTGGATATTCAGTTTCATGTTATTCATTTTTTGTTCTGTTTCAATCCAGTTCTTCTATTAGTTCTAGCAATTTTTACTTTAGTTTTATTCTCCTAAAGGTATCAGAAGCCTACAT